AGTCTTTTTTTAAAATCTTCACAAGGAAATTGCCCTGCTGAAAAATTCTCGTATTACCCGACATTACACTCAATAAAGTATTCATAAACCATTAACTTATGTTAAATTAAACATTACACTGACTAATGCTATTATTAACGAGTTAGTACAAGAATCTCTCGTGTTGTACGTGGCATTCTGGTCCATGATGCCGTGTGGTATGACCAGAGAATCCAATTTTTCTTAGCCCGTTACACTTCATTGGTAAAGGAACAACAACAACCTAATACAGCACAGAAAACAAATAAAAAAATAGAGCACTGATTTTAAAGTTTGAACCTATGACACATTCGATGAGAATCAGACTAATATGAGTGAAAACATAAGGTAGGGGATGAAAGGAGTAGACAAGGCATCACTTTCTCCAAGCACGAGACCAATAAGAGTCAAATTCCATATGATTCCACGTGCTTATCGTTCTAATGTTCCCCAATCATTCTGACTTGGCATTTACATCACCTGTTGTGGTGCTCAATAACATAAGGTCCAAGAAAACATGCTACATAATTCGGTTTTGTTTTTGTCTTAAAATGATTCCTTGTTCAAAAATGCCTGGGATACCCACCAACCCCACTGTCACTCACTCACTCACACACCGAGCCATAATCATTTTCTTTTTCAAGCTTAACTTTTCTCTTTGGGACCCAAAAGTCAATCTTTTTTATGGTCCTTTCTTCTATCCTAAAGCATGCACATATATATGCATTATATGTAATTTGATCTCAACAGGGAAATGGCCTAATGGGTCCCATTAAACAATTATCTATTGTGCTCCAATTATTAGGGCAACACCTAGTGTTCATTGTGTAGTGGAAAGACTTATATAGTCAATCACAATCAAGTGATATATCTTAAGGCTGCTTAGGGAAAAAGAAGAAAAAGGGAAGTTGTTTTGTTGGAGCTCACTGTGGCAGCTCCTTTGCATTACATTTCTATAGTTTTTCTGACAACTTTTATTTGCTCTTTTTTAATTTTGCTAATTAACAAATGTGGCCTCTCATTTCTTAGTTCTTGCTGGCAACCAATTAGATTGGAGGATAGCGATATAATCCATATTATAAAGTCATAAAAGATAGAAAGCGAAGGCATCGCGTTGCTGAATTAATTAGGCAGCTAATAAGGCGACAAGAAAGTCCATATCAGGTTGTCAGATAATTGCAATAACAAAATTAATTGTGATGTTACATGGTTGAATTTGGATTAACCTCTCATTTTCACATTGTGGTTAGATCGATCACCACGTATTTTTACATTCTTTATGCATAAATAATTGTTACTTGTTCATCAACCTTATCAATATATAAACCAAGCATCTTGGCAAGTGCCTGTAAAACCTACTAGCGATATGGAGATTCCTATGGGGTTCCAAGAATCCATTTTTATCAATGTTAAAATGATATATTTGGTTAGTAAAACTATATCTTTTGATTACAAAATCATTAATTATAAGCTTTGAAATAATGCCTGAACTATGAACCATATCGATAACTTAAAAAAAAAAAAAAAATCGCACATAGCTCCGTCTTAAAGAAGAAAAAAAAAACCTTATTCATATAATACAATTTATTTTTATAGTTTCAAATAACTATATAACGAAGCAAAGAGTTTAGTTCGTTAATAAGTGTGAATGAATTGTTGTAACTAATCACTTTGATACTAATTTCGATTCTTACATATAAATAAAAAAAAAACTATAGTACTAATTAAACTTTTCTTCATAAAAATCATTTTATCATATAAAAAAGTCAATTTGATAAGTGGGTAAAACATTATGATTTTTATTATATGAAAAATTTAAATCAAGATAAGACACAATATTAATGTAAAATCAGAATCTACTACCAACTTGAATAAAGATTTTACGTTCTTTTTTTATATATTAAAAATAGACTTAATTCTATTTTTAGTCCTCTAAATTTATGTTAATTATTTTTTTACCTTAAATTTAAAATTTATATTTTTAATCTCTATAATTTTAAAAGATATTATTTTAGTCCTTATATATATTCTTTTGGTCTTTCAAACTTAAAACATGTATTTTTAGTCCTCAAAATATAAAAATTATTATTTTAGTCTCTTGTGATTACTTATAGCATAATTGATAGGAAGAGAAGACAATTTTGTAATATTAGTTGGTTTAGTGAAATGTTTTCATTAACAATAAAATAATAATAATATAATTGATAGTAACACATTAAAAATTTTGTAATATTAATAATAACATAATTGATGAAGATGACAAATTTCACCGATAATGACGTTAATGAAAAAATTATATGTAATAAGTTAATTAATGACATTGAATAGAGGGATTGAAATAATTAATAATTTCTATATTTTAGAGGTTAAAAACGTATGTTTTAAATTTGAGAGATAAAAAGTTTAATTTTAAATTTGACCAACCCAAATAATATTTTTTTTACATTTTAATAAAAACTAAAAATCCAATTTTTAAATTTTACAAAAAAAATATTACCTCAAATCTTGAAGTAATAAATACATAATTAAGTTTTAAAAATATATTAAGAACGTCATTTTCACTTGTTCTTCTTACTTTTTATTAAATATTTTTTTGAATTATATCATAAACACAATAGAAACAGTTCTTAAAATTAATATTTATAACCGTACGTTTATTTTTATATTATTATTATTATTAAAAGTAACGGTTACACAAATATACTATTATATAGATGTGAGTGGTTATTTAAAGAAGATATATTTTTTTAATATTTAAAGAGTATAATAATCCACTAAAAATAAAAAATAAAAAAATCTTAACTTTTTCTGCACTTTTGAGTTTTTTTCTTTGATTTTAGAATGCTCCGTTTAGCTCACATTCATTATATATAAAAGCATATATCACTAAGAAAGAGTCAATAGATTCAAGTTTTGTATATAAAAAAATCCATAAACTCTTTATTTTCAGATTCGGGGGGAAAAAGTTCATTAACTTTAAAAATACAAGACACGAGAAGACTGATAACTGCTATAAAAATAAAATAAAATAATAATTAATAGCGTCGTAGTTCATCACTGGTCAAAGTAACGGACGATAATTAAACGTAACGCATCATGATGTATATATTAGCTGATCATGGTTCACCACTAAATTATTTAACGTCTAATATACATATGATATTATTATTAACATCATTTTCAAACTATAGTACTTCCTCACCGTTTGTATTAAACTAAGCACTTATTATTCTGTTCGCCATAAATTTGTTGCAAAAACAACGCTAAACCTACTGACTTTTAAATATGCATTAAAAATCTTTTTTTAATCCCACAAAAAATCACAAATATTAGTTATATTAATATCTTTCAATAATTGACACGTTTATTCGTTAAGGCTTAAAATAATCAATATTTATTCATCTTAAAAATTAAAGTCAAAGTTTAAACTGTACTAACTTGACTTTAGTTCTTTAGATAATCCTAAGAATTAAAATAAGTTATAGGTATCCTTCAACGAATGCTGTTCTTTCAAAATTAGAATCATTTAATACTTTATCGTTATATATTTCTATTATTTTTTTATTAGTGATTTGGAGATAATTTATATTTTTATATTTTATTTAATAAAAATATTTAAAAATTATTAATATTTATTATATTAATTGGTATTAATCTTCAAATTTTAAGATTTTATGTTCAAATTTTATATTTATAATGATAAATAATTTTTAATATTATTTTTTATTATTTAAAAATATGTACATAAAATCAATTAATCATCTTTATATATTTTATAAATTCACCAAAATTGAATTATTATAACACCCATATACCTAACCAATTGAACTCGTACAATTATTACATAGATAAATTTAGACGAACTTCTCATAAGTATTTCTAGAAAAAATTTAAAATAAATTGACTTTTCTACATTAAATAAAAAATTATTTTTAATTTCTTAAATTTTTTAAAAAAATTTATCTTTTAAATTTAAATGACACAATTATCCATTATTAATTGAGTTTAATATGATATTTTTATTAACACAAATACTAATAATTATACAAAAATATTTGATAAATTTTTTAACAAAATTTAAGTACAAAAATTATAATTTTTTTAAAATTACACAATTAAAATTATCAATTTTAAATTTAAGAGACTAAAAATAAAATTATCTTAAATTTGAGGAATTAAAAAAAATATTTAAATATCAAATAAATTTATGCTTAACTTAAAAGTAAACTTTTAGAAAAATTAATAGATTTTTTTATAAATTAGTTTATAAAAGAACATATTTTTTTATATTTTTTTAAAAATAATTATGAAGAAGTTTAGTCGAGCACGTATCCATAAAATTTATTTGGTTATAAGTTTATAAGAACTCTTCTAATAAAATTAAAGAATTTTTTTGATAAACTACTTTTAAATTTTTTTCCTAAACATATCCAAACATACTAATTTTTTGATGCTAGAAGAAATGAGAGAATATAAAAAGAATGTAGATGAAATTATCCAATGTGATCTAATCTAATTAATATATATTAATATAAAAATAAAGAACGTAAATAAATAAATAAATAAAAATTAAATATTATGCGTGTCAACAAAAACTAACAAAATAAATATGTAACAAAAAGTAACATAAAATTTATGAAAAAATATGAAGACAAAAATTATATATATTGATGAAATTAGAAATAGGAACGTTGAAAATATGGTGAGTTAGTCTCTCTGGGTCAGTAAATAGTAAATAGTTTCCAAATGTATATTAAAAAGAAAAAAGGAAACAGCAGAGGCGTTGGAAAACGGTAACAGTATTTTCAAGTTTCAACTCACAACAACCTTCTTTTTATTCATTTCATCGATTCACACAGTTGAGTCACGCAACCAAGCAAGCACGCGTCTTCTCTCTCTCTCTCTCTCCGTGGAAATCGCTTCCTTGTCTCCTCCTCTTCCATCCTCCAATCATATAAACAATGTTCCATTATTCCTAACCCTAAACCCCCAAAACGACCATGCCGTTTCCGTGGAAGAAAAACCGCGTCCCCCGAATCTCCCAAATCGTCGCCGATCTCCAATCTCCAAAACGCGGCGCCTCCCTCGTCGTCCAGACCGGCTTCCCCACCTCCCTCATCGACCTCTTCGTCAAAAACCGAACCCGCTTCAAAAAAAACCGCTCCAAAAAAACCCCTCCGCCGGACCTCCCCCATCCGCCGCCCCCGCCCCCGCCGCCGCCGCCCTCTCCGGCCACTCCTATTCCAATGCAACCAACCCGCGCCGTTCCCGATCCCGTCACACGCTTCCCCAACGCCTCCAATTTAAACGCCGTCGTTTTCGTCAAGATTTTGATGGCCTTCGCTCTGATCGCCAGCGTCGAGAGGCTCACGGTTGGGATCACCGTGTCGGCGTTCGCGCTTCTGCTTCTCGAATACGCAGGGAGACGCGCCGTTTCGTTTCCCGTTCTCGCGGCGTTGTTCCGGAAGGCTCTGATCCCGAAGAAGGAGCGCGTTCCGGATTGCCAATTGAGCCGCGAGGGTTTCGCGACCGGTGAAATTGAGGTCGTGGAAGCGACCACCGATTTGGGGATTTGTGCTGACGTGGCACCCGCTTTGTTATCGGAGGACGAACCTTCTTCCGAAGTTTCGGTGGCGTGTCTTTTGGAACAAGTTTCCGAATGCAAAACCAAGGGTGGCAAAAGTGGTGGCTTTAGGTCAAGGATGGTGAAGAAGCTTGTGCCTAAGAAGTTTCGTGGCTCTAGGAAAGAGAAGAAGGAGAAGGAGAGTGAATCGGGTAGTGAAGTTTCGTTTTCGAGTGCTGTGGAGGATGAAAAGTTACCAATTTTGGAAATTGAAGTGGAGGAGGTGGAAGAGGAGAATATTAGTGGGGCTAAAAACTCGAGTAACACTAAGCTTGATTGTGGAATCACACGTTCCTATGATGTGATAAGGGTTGGGAATTCATGTTCTTCCACGGTTCTAGTTATGGTTGCCCTTGTTGGGCTTCTTCTGGGGCGTTTCCCAGCGTTGATACTCTCAATCACATGCTGCTGTTTGCTAAAGATAGTTAGGAGTCTAAGGAGATCACTTAATGTGTCTCTGATCAAGTGTTCTGTTTCAAATTCTTGATGGGGATAAGGAGAAACTGAGGAAACAAGTTTTTTTTTTTTTTTTCCTTTTGTTTTAATTTTCTTTTCCTCTTTATTTATAGATGATACACAGAGGATGGTAAAGATTCATGTTAGTTTTAAAACATTGAGGATCATTCCCGGGATAGGAACTCCAACCATTTGTTGGGAATCCAACTTCATGCGTTGTACTTTGAAATGTAAATTTATTATAGACTATAGATACTAATCACAGTCGATACATTCTTTGTTTGTCTGTATTTTTATGTAATTTGTTCTTATTTGACATAGCAATCGTTGTTACTTGCTGTGTGTCCTTTATGTTTTGTTGGGTTGTTAACTTCAGTTTCAAACGCCTTGTTTAGATCGAAGATGAAAAGGTTGAGAAATGGAATTAGATGACAAGGAATACGATTGTTAAGATGTTAGATGATGCAGATAGGAAGGAATGGAACTGGTGACTGATTTTGTTCCCCTTCGTTCATATTCCGGATTTAGAGTCTTTTGAGATAAGGAACTAATAAGAAAATGCAAGTTGTGAATAATTCTAGTCATTTTATTCACTTACACTAAAGTTTCTATATTAAAAAATAAAAATTAAACCTACATCCCTGCATTGCATACTAAAAATAAAAATATTCCTCTTGATTTAGCTTTAAAAGATTTGAAACATGGCACAAGTTTCTTAGTTTTTGTTTATTCCCTGGGTCTTTCGAGATGATACTAACACCGTCTTTGGTTATGGTCCTTATCGAGAAAGAGGGAGGAAAATGAGGGGGGAATAGATAATGACGCCTTAGTTTTTTATTTGGTTAAATAAAAATTTAAAATGATATCGAAACAATGTAAAATAATATGCAAAAAGAGATATATAAATAGTAGAGAAAGAGAGATGAAAGGTATACATTGAGAAAGGAGATACTTACCTTTTTTTTTTTTTTTAAATAGGAAATATTATAAAGATAGTAGCAATGAGAATTGAACCTAGGTCCTCATGTCTCTAACTATCTCAATCTCTCCCCACTCAACCACTAGGCTAACTATAGCGGTCAAAAGAATATACTTACTCTATTCTTTATTATAAATAATTAAATAAAAAATTTTATGCATATTAAGAAAATAAGTTATTAATATTAAATTTTATTATTCTCGTAATATTTTCTTAAATTATTTTTTTTATAAATGTCAAAAAATATTTTTTTAAAGAATATCATTAAATAAGATAAATATAATTAAAATTATTTATATTTAAGAATAAAATATATTTTTTTCATAACAGATAATGGAGTATCATCTTACTTCTTTGACATAAGGTATTATATACACATTAAAAAAAACACAGAAAGTATTATATAAGTAAATGGTGCAGAATCATCATGTATATGGGTGGCAAAATGGGCCAGCCCGGCCCGCCAATGGCCTGCTAAAAATTGGTCGGGCTGAGCCGGGCTGCCAATAGAAAACGGGTTGGCATAGCTGGCCCACCTTGCCTAAGGACGGGGCTAGCGAGTCGGCAGGCCAGCCTACATACCACAAAAAATATTACAAAAAAATATATTTTAAGTTCAAATAAAAAAAATTTTGCTATAATGTGTTCAACACATGCAAATCACAAACTTATAACAAAATCAAATAGAATTTAGCCCACTTACCAAAATCAAAACCAAATTATAAACTTATAAATTACTAATAAAATAAATTTTTGATAGTCCACAAAACAAGTCCAAACACAATCAATCAATTTTAACTTTCTATTTCAAGAACATTAGAAGCTCCCTTGGAAGAAGTTATCTATACTTTTTTGTTTTGATCATCTTCATCCTCATCTTCTACATCAAAATAATTTAAACATAAAAAGTTAAATATATAAAAAATTAAAGTATGCGAGTTGGCGGGTTGTGATGGGCCAGCCTGCTATTTGATTCGGCGAGTTGGCGAGTTTGGCAAATTGAAATATTGGGCCCGGCTTCCAATTCTTGGCGGGCCAACGGGCCGGCCCGCGAATTACAGCCCATTTTGCCATCCGTAATCATATAAGGAAATTAGAGAAATTATGATTTTATAATTATTTACTATAGCATCTTCATATCGTATCTTTATCAACAGAAAGTGATCGCATAAAAAAGAGGAATCAAATCACTCAAATTATGAAAATTACAATATAATGATATTCATAAAAGTTTTTCTTTAAATTTTTATTGTTCATTTTTTATATTAAAATATTGCTATAAATATTTTGTACAACAAAAAGTTATTGAAAAAAAAGTATATCATTCTTTAAACTTCCACAATTCCATTTTGTTTTCTCCTTGACTGATTTTGCAAACCAAAATTGTGTCCTGCAATGAATTTAGTCTTCCAGCTATTGTATTTTGGAAGCAAGGTATTCAATAAATCCTGAAGGACAATGGCTGTAATGACCCTTTGCACAAAAATTATGCACCTCATATCTGTCAACCCCCTGTAATTGTAGCATAAATAGAAGATCCATCAAATAGATTTAATAATAATCATAATGGCATAAAAAAGAGGGAGTTACTACATAGTCAATTTTTTAAATCAATAAAAATGAAGTAACATGTGATTTTTTTTCTTTTCACTTTTACTTCTTTTCCCTTTCCCAAGTGATGTGTTCATGGCAAATAGATAATCTAAGTTAACTTACTTTTTCCTCTCACAAAATATTGACCCAAGTGTTTCAAATCTTTTCGTAGAAATTATTAAAATAACAGTGAGCAAAACACAATAAGATTATGTTTGCTGAAGTAGAGAGCGATTTTGTGGATTTTCTATTCAACTTGCTTCTCATAAAACCTCTTGGATTTTAGTATGAATGAAACTTATGAATACAAATAATCCTTCCAAAACATTAAGAATTTTAATAAGATCATCAAAAAAATATTGCCAAGCCACAGATTTCTTATAGATATTAAGAATTTTAAAAATATACATGCAAATGGAAAAGATAAACTTTTTTTGAAAATCAAACATTCACATAATATATATAAAAAACCAACTGTTCCAAAACCATTTAAATTTAGAAGGGTACAGTAGAATTTCTCTAAAAAAGATCACAGCATACAATCAAACAACAAAATAATCTTATCCCAATAAAACTACATACAATCAAAAACAGTAAGCTAGATAGAACAATAAGTCTAAAATAAATAAATAAATAACAAGTTTCATAAATTGGGTCACAATGCAAGATCTTTGTGAATATATCAATACAAGGTAGGGTGTTCAACGCTCGTCCCAACCTGAAGCCAACAGTAATAGACTTGGATTCTAGAAACTAGACCCATTGTAATTTTAGGTTAAGATTCAAGTTATTGCAAACTCCTGATATCACACAACATTTTAAAATTCACGCACAGATACACACATATTTGTTTTCATATTGTAAAACATCCATCAATTGCATACCTTTAAATTGTATTTTGTACCATAAAATATCTTAACTTGTACATTTTGTCATAATAGAGTCAACCTAGAACTATTCCAAACATTAGTTGGGACATGATGCTGAATTACGAAATATTGGGAGAGGTTAAGATTAGATTAATTCCATCCAATGAACTTCCCTATTCAGAGCTGAAGAATAAAGAAGAAAGATGAAACTTCACATTAAATAACCAAGCATACAGCACATACTCATTCAATAAGAAACTTAAACAGTCTACCAAGGACAACAAAAGTCTAGGTCAGAAAATCCATAATAATAACTCACATTACATTATTTCATCACATTTGATATATTTAGAAAGAAACTTATCCTTGATGATAACCTGTACTCAAGTAGAGAGTCAATAAGACAGCAAACTTTGGAGGTTAACAGCCCCATTTCCACATCAGATTTGATATTGTCACCAATAGACCATTGAGATGCTGAGTAAGAAAACATTTTGAATAAATTAATGTTAGAAATGCATGCAAAATATTTATATTCAAAATTTCACAAGTTCTCTCAATGGTTGTAGAATCATTACCACATGGTAAGTATGTTTTAAGCGTATGCACACCATCCAAAATAAAGCTTCTAAGAACTCTATCACCAGAGTGTCCCCATGAAAATGATTCACTTTCATTGGAAGATAAAGACTCTGCAGCCTGTCACATGATCTTTTTGTCACCTTCTACATGAATAGGCTGTAGAGGGCAGTTCTTGGGTAGATACAATGTTCCGGTCACTTTGTCCCACCTTGGAGTCGGTTTAAAGTACCTAAGAGTTTAATCTAGATAGGATAAATGATGAAGAACTAGATAAAAACAAAATAAAAGAACCAGAATGATGCAAAAGTAAGCATATCTTCAGTTCATTAAAATGAAGCAAGGAAAAAAAATGAAAAAGGGCAGTGATGAACTAACTAACCCATCTGAAGGAAGCCGTGAGCAATACAAGTGTATTAAACCAATACTAGAACTAAGATTTGCAAAGGCTTCAGTGCTTGCAACACGGTAAGTTTCCTCATCAAATTCATCACCTTCAAAAAGATCACATGGAAGGGAAGAATGACGCAACGACTCCTTCCTCATAATATCCCCACTTGCAAGGTATTTTTCTAGTCGAGAACAAGTAACTGAATCCCCACTGCAATTTCAGAATAAAATAAAGGTTATTCAGGGTAAAATTTACTTCAACTAGTAAAGCATATAGATTTGACATTATAATTTTGTCTCATGCAGTGTTGATATTTTACACTTGTGTATGTGCCAGGGTAATAATGATTCTTACTAACGGAGAAATGTAAAAAAGAAACACCTCTTAACCATTAATATGTAATCTGAATTTTGCATTCTGGCACGTCCCCGGGACTGTATGAAACTGCACACTGTGGGAGATGGATCAAATCTAATAACTAAATTGCAACTTTGAACATCTAAACCCTCTTCGAGAATTGATGTTGCAACAATGATGTTGACCTGCATATTAAAAAATATCTTGGTAAGACACTGCATTTGGTTATCACAATACAATGGATTGTTTAAGAAAAGACAACATACCAATCCCATTCGAAACTCTTCCACAATTCCATTTTGTTTTCTCCTTGACTGATTTTGCAAACCAAAATTGTGTCCTGCAATGAATTTAGTCTTCCAGCTATTGTATTTTGGAAGCAAGGTATTCAATAAATCCTGAAGGACAATGGCTGTAATGACCCTTTGCACAAAAATTATGCACCTCATATCTGTCAACCCCCTGTAATTGTAGCATAAATAGAAGATCCATCAAATAGATTTAATAATAATCATAATGGCATAAAAAAGAGGGAGTTACTACATAGTCAATTTTTTAAATCAATAAAAATGAAGTAACATGTGATTTTTTTTCTTTTCACTTTTACTTCTTTTCCCTTTCCCAAGTGATGTGTTCATGGCAAATAGATAATCTAAGTTAACTTACTTTTTCCTCTCACAAAATATTGACCCAAGTGTTTCAAATCTTTTCGTAGAAATTATTAAAATAACAGTGAGCAAAACACAATAAGATTATGTTTGCTGAAGTAGAGAGCGATTTTGTGGATTTTCTATTCATATTATTTTAGTTTTATTATAAGAAAAAAATATTGGTGTGTTTTTAAATTTATTAATTAGTGTTAACAAAGATTGGTCCAATGAGTAAAGAGCCAACTCATATTTTACAAGGATGTTGGTTCCATTCTCTCAATATGAGAATGTTATTGGTAGCTAGGTAATTATTAAGTATTTCTGTAAATGCTCTTTAAGGGTTGAGGTTTATCTCAATGTTAGTGGATTTCTACGGACCCAATTCAAATTATGGATAAAAAAAATGTATTAATTGATAATATTCTTTTATATTCTTAATTTATTAAGATTCTTAATAAATTGACTAATTTTTTAAGGTGAATGTTTTTGTTTAATTACTAACACTATAAATTATACTCATTAGTTAAAATAATTCTTTTATTTATTTATGAGTTTTGTCATTAAATACACCCATTTCCATTATTTGAATTCTATGGATTTATTTGGAATTATGACATTAACTAAAATTAATTAATTTAATTATTTTTATTAATCTTAATAGTAGATACATTTTTTTGAATGATTTAGATCGGAGTATCTTGATGAACAAATTGATTATCACATAAATAAAATTGTTGAATGTGTGTATGACTATTCTTCAAGAGATAAAAAAAAAAAAATCAATTATGGTTCATTCTACCGACTTTAATGTATCTTTTATTTAACCAAGTAATACATGAAATATTATTTTCATATAAGTTCATTGTTAATCATTTTATTTTCACAAAAATTTTTGTTAAATTACGGCTTTCAACCAAATGTATTATTAATTTTCTCTATGTAGTACTAATATTTCCACATAATTAGGCAATGCGGTTGTTATAGTTAATTTCATAGATCATCACAAAATGGTTATACTACTACATATAAATAAATAGTCTTTCAAAGTACAAATAGTAAATTGATAACTGCACGTGTTATTTTTGTAGAGACTCTTATAATGTTTGATTCTCACAATTTATTACTATTTGGATGAATGGGTAAGGTGATTATAGTAAGGGATTGTTCATCATTTATCAAGCGGAATGTATTAGCACAATTCATTAAAATGGTATTAGAATTAAAAATAATATAGAAAATATTACAACACAATCAAATAATTTTGAATCAATCATAAGTAAAAAAAAAAAGAGTATATTCACATAATAATTTCATGAAGTTAAAGTTTCACATTAAAAATATGAAGTTATATTTATTAAAGTCACAAAAAAAAATAACTACCTCAAATTAGTTCAAAAAAAATCTAACACATCCTAATAGGTAACTAAAATTAGTTCATATAAAATTTAGGGAA